GACAGAGGTGAGGCTGCCGGACACTGGCGCCACCGGGCCCTCTGACCACCACCAGTAGGCAACGGGTGAAGTGTCTTGCCCAAGGACACAACGACGAGACTGTCCGAGCCGGGGCTCGAACTGGCAACCTTCCGATTACAAGACGACCTGCCAACTCTTGAGCCATGATTGCCCATTCTACAAGTGTTTAATAAATCTGCTAAATTCTTGATTATATCAGGAGACAGAAATTTTTATTGTATTTTTATGTTATTCTTCACTCCGAAGAGGAAAGTTACCACTTCTGCACAAACTACATTTATCATTGCCTTTTAATCTTTCAGTGGTTTTGTAGCCACACAGACTCTTAGTGAAGATGCTGCTGCTTGTTTAAAAAAGAAAACAATATTGTATGTGTTCCCATTTAGTACACAGAACACTGCTGCCACTTTCTATCAGTCTAGACTGTAAAGGATGAATGCTGCGTGAGCCATTTCAAATGAACACGATATTGACCTCTCTATCAAGAACCACTTACCGGTTTTCACGACACACACTGACACATCCAATATTGTGGCTAACTGGCCTGTCACAGACTTATCACATAGTCATCGAGCAAGTTAAAGGCAAGGACACGAGGCATCAGCCATTTATCCTGTCTGCCAGAGCTACCTTATAGGAGATGAGCTGTTGCACTTTGGGTTGGAGAATCTATCCCACTGCTCTTTTGACAAGGGGAAATGTGTTTTTGTTTTTTGCTTTATTTGTTTTTTTGTTCTTTCACCAGTATTATAAACTTTCTTCATGTGGTACTTTCTGCTCTACTACTATTTTCTGATTACTTATATGCCCAAAGTTCAGTTTCACCCAAATAAGTTTTTTTTTTTCTTACTTGATATTTATAATAGGTACTCTTTATTTTTACAGTTTCTTTCTCAGCTCCAGCTCAGTATTCTCCTTGTTTATTGATTATCTATAGAAAAAGAAAGAAAACCTTTCCTTTAACAACAATGAGTATTTGACTTGATGTTCTTGTGTCACTGAATCAAGTTGGCAATTAATCACGTTATCTGAATAGGATATAAGTGGCTGCATCAGAGAACTGTGTTTTCTTAGGAGAATGTAATTTTTGTTTTAAATGCGTCTTAAATTTTGCAGCAGCTACATAATTCTTGTCTTTTGTTCTCAACCAAATTCTTTTTAGGAGTTTGGTGCCAGTTACTCAGTTGTATGTCAGTGTGGATGCCAGCACCCAAGACAGTCTGAAGAAGATTGACCGGCCACTTTTCAAGGATTTCTGGCCGCGCTTCCTGGATAGCCTCAAGGCCCTGGGAGAAAAAGTAAGCTTTCATCCAGGATCTTAGACAAGTGATCGGTTGGGCTGTGGGGTTCAGTTTGATAAAGAATCTAACTCCTCGGTAAAATTCAACTGGATAGAAACTAGGATTGTTAAATTATCTGCAGGCTTTTACGATAGCATTGTATTGAGCCCTAAAAAGAATGTGCTTGCTTTCCATTGGGACGCTAAATTAAAAGTAAATAAAATGTTTTTCACACATTCACACATTGTTATTCCTGTCCTAAAAATCTTGGCCCAGAGCCAAACCACATAACTGTCCTGGGTTACATAAAAAATATAGCAAAAATTAGCAGTGGCAATGTAGTATTTTAATACCATATTTTAATTGAAAAAAATGAAGTCGTTCTTAAACCTGCAATGCAGATGTGATAATTATCAGTTTTATACTGTGTCAGTCACAATTACAGTGTTAATGAGTGGATGTTATGCTGCTGTTAAAGCCTATAGAGTTTCACTAACCTGAATGTCACTGTAAATATGATTAATTTAGTGCCTATAAAACAGTTGCTGATATGTTTTTTCCCAGGTCATAACAGCTTACAGCAGCAGTCTTTGACTAATACTACTTAACTTTAATATCCTAGTGTAAGTGTGGACCTAATTCACAAACATTCACTAGCGCATTAGTATACAGAATAAAGCCTGCGACAACATTGTCTCAGATTGTGAGATAAACTCGTAGAAGCAATTAAAGATTTTTGGCTTGATCGACCTTTGTAGAAACCTCAGAAGGAGGAGGGGTCTTCTCTGTTTACCCATTTCCATATATTGACACTGAGATCCCAACAAATGACAGGGAGCAGCTATTCAAGTGTGAAATGTCGCCTTGCTATTCTGCCTGTTCTTTTTGCAACTTTAAGAGAAACGGAGACCTTTGTTTTCATTCTTATTGTGGTGACAGTGGCCTTATCGACTTGTCTTTGTGATCTGTGCTCATAGATTCATTTCAGCAGGTTTAAAGTGCTTTCAATAGGCTTTTAGAAGTTTTTGTCCTTCCAAGAAGAGGGAAAATCCATTATCACAACCTCCATCTTTCTACCTGGCTGCTTGCCCCCCCCCCAATAAATAAATAAATAAATAAATGGGTCTATTAACCACCAAATGACCTTGAGAAAGATAAAGTCTGCAGTGTCTCTATTGCAAATAAAACCTGTTCAATAAGTATGCAGATACCTTTTTTTTCACATTCTATGTTGCAGCATTTTGGTAATGTCAAGCCTCCTTCAGCTAACACTGAATTATTTATGTTTTTTATTATATTTATTTATTTATTATATTAACTTATAATTAAATTACTGTATAGAAGACATGAGCAATCACTCCTTCTCCCCCCAAAAGGAAGGGAGTATTTAATCGGTTCAATTTGTTTGTCTGTTTGTTAGCAGTTTTCATGATATCATTTCCACATTTTGTGTGATGGTAGATCCCAATAGTAGCTCGAGCTGATTTAATTTTGGTGACAATGGCGTCATGGTCAAGGTCACACCAAATATATTACCCACAGTTTTTATGGATAGTCTTAAAACTACACTAGGTCTTGGGGGCACATGAGTACTTAGGCTGGTTAAGCATTTGACCTTGACCGCTTCATTGTTAGTATTCAAGGTCAAACTTGACCTTCAAATTCAAGAAACCACATCGAGTAATATATCATATGAAAGGGCGTGGAGTGAGCTTTGCAACACACTTCTTATTTTTTCAATGAGATGCCCTACCTCATCTTATTGGTACCATAACATGCTTATATTTGCCCATCATAGCCCCTTATATATTGTATACAGGTTTCTGTCTGCCCACTCTACCATGAAAGTCAGATCAATGTACTGTACAGGTGTGGTTATGATTGTTCTCCTGGAGCTTTTTCATTTCCAAATTGGATCTCTGAAGCTTAGTGGTCATCAGCTTGCTGGTTACCTCTCTTACCATGGTTTATTCTCTGCCACTATTTTTTTTTTATTCCCAACACCGAGCTGTCTCTTAGCATTGCAGGCAGTTTCTGTGAAACTTTTGTTTTTTGCTTTGATATAAAAATTATATACAGTAGTGTGCCGCTATCGATCATCTCTAAGATCAACAAAGGAAATAAAAGGCATCTAAACTAAAATATAGTTGCCAAGCAAGCAGTCTTAACACAAATTTCGAAATTCAGTTTCAGGTTAGAATTATAAATACGTTTACAAAAAAAATCAAAACGTATTTATTATGGAGCAGCAACATAACATACAAATTTGAAAAATACTTTCTCCGCTGTATCTGTGATGAGCCTGTGTCCTCATGTTTAATCCTTTAATATTGGGACTTATTCATTAATGCTGCCTAGCTTGAGGCGCTGTTCAGTGCTTGGCCTGAAGCAAACTACAAGTGTTCATCACACTCTATTTGGATCTATATCACCAGTTTAACCTGAGCACAGCAGGAAAATATGAATGTGCTGTAACTGCACATATGAGATGTACACACATGCGCGCACACAATTTTACCCTGTGGCATATTTACTGATTTCTGCCTGCAATCTCATTATTTTAAATATTGCTCCATTGTCTGATAGTCGGATGAGGCATCAATCAATACAATTATTTCTGAAGTTGTCAGAAATATCTGATGTCATTTTTTCTTGGCTAAGCACTTTCATTTGCATATTAGTGATACTAGCGATGACACCTAATGCGCACAATCTGTTTTGCATAAATGTCAGCAAAAGTCAAATCTGCAGACCTTGCAATTATGTATGCCGTGCCATTCTGGGGGCCATGAGAATGTTGCATATTGTTTGTTTTTAAGGAGCAATAGTTTGAATTGTAGTGTATGTGTCCCTAGGGTTGGCTGGAGCTCAGGAGGTAGAGCAGGTCATCTACTAATTGGAAGCTTGATGGTTCAGGACAAAGTACATGAACACAGATGTTTATTTAGCATTAGAGGTCATATGATTCAGTTCAATATGGATGTTGTACCTGTACTTCTGTGTTTGCATATGCACATCTGACTGTAATACTACAGCATGTCTGTGTGCAGTGTCCAGAAATAACCTTTCCGTTGCCAGTCCCCCTCCCATCCCATTCACCTCCCTGTTCGTAAGTCTTCATTTCACGGTGGGCTCTCTCTCCATCCTCTTGAGCGCGTATCCTTTATGCTCTCTGTTTGACAGCTCTCCTCCTCTCCCCCACTTGGCCTCCCTGCCAGTGCACTTGGGATTGATAGAGTTGTGCCTTCGTGTTGGATTTGGAATAGAGACAGCTTGAAATACCTCACCTCCCTGCTTCCACTGGCCAATTATCCCCTTCCCTATTGGGCTGAAAGGACCTAGTGTTAGAGATAACCTTCGAGTGCAAGAGGAAGAGGGAGAGGAAATGAGGGAAAGAGTGCGCTTTCTTTTCTCGATTGAGTCTTTGTACCAACCATTTGTCATGTCATCTGTTCGTACAATCTCTTGGCTTTCCTTGCTTCTCTTCCTCTCTTTCATATTGACAACAATTCAGTTTCTACTGTATCTACATCACTGAACTGTGATTCTATATTTCCTGTTTTACTTACCTGGGAAAAATGGCCGACTCATGAGATACAGATCAGGTATTCTTATCTCGTATTTCAGTTCAAAGCTGTTTATAATTTTAAAATTTAAGCCTGCCCAGTATTGTGTAGGTACCCTTTGGACTGCTGAGATAGGTCTAATCCACAGAGGCATGGACTTTATAAGGTGTCCTGCGGTTTCAGGCCCCAACATCTTTACAGCAGATGCTTTTCCTAAAGTGCTGTAAGCTGTAAAATGGGTCCTCCATACGTGTCGGTGGACTTGTGACCCGCTGTTTTACAATTGCAGTGAGCAGTCATAACAACTCTGTCCAGGGCCATAATAATGTGGCTAGATCCTTACCCTTGTCTATATTTCCTGCTTTCAAAACATCAGCTTAAGAGTTGACTTATCACTGAAGCCTTATATGAATCTCTTGACAAATTGTCATAAACCCGAGTGTGGCAGGCAGGTTGGGACCCAAATGCAGGACTCTCAGGCTTGACTGAACTGAACTGCTTTATTTCTGGAAAATACTAATAACTAAATCCTACTAAGTAACTGGCTGCCACTCATGGAAACAAACACTGGAGGCGCTGAACAAGTGGGACACGCAACAAGAGGGAGATTGCAACAAGGAAAACAAAGAGACACAGATGATATATACACATGAGGGAATCAGGGCGGAGAGGAAACACCTGGGGAACACGGCTGAACAATAATCTAACTAACGAGATAGGGGAACAGCGCTGAGATGCGACTGACTAAACAGAGCGAGAGCAAGGAGAGAAAGAGAATGACACCGAACTTGACATTAATAGATCGACATGATGGGCTACACACTAGGGACACATTGGAGGAGACAGCAAGGAGAGACTAAGACAAACTGGACTGAAATTTTAAAAAAAGAATTAAGAACTAGAAACATTACATAACTCGGAGGCTCTCCAAACTGAACATTAGCATCTCATTAACCTGCAAGAAGTGAACAAAAGACTAAGCAAACTCATAAACCTGTATCAAAGACCCAGAACCATGACACAAATGACAATATAAACAAATGCTGCTCAACCTGCAAATGCATTTTCCTTACAAATGTGCCCCCATTTAAGGGGAAATAAACAAGCTTTTCAGGCATATATTACCAAGAAGTATTGTTACAACAATCAATTGTCAGCCAAACACAAATTTCTGTACTTTTCATTCTAATATTTTTAAATAATTTAACTTACTTTGTTCACATTAATATTTTCATAACAAACAGCTCAGTTTAGGGCTACACTCTCCACATTCTTGCTTATTGAATGTACAAAGCCTAGGGTTCTCAGTTCTAGAGCTACATGGTCTTTTGTGGCAGCTAGAACTGTGTCATTCTCTTCCTTCATCCTTGAAAGGGGGAAAAAAAGTTCTAAAATTTTAAGATGTTTACCCGAAACATCATTTCATTTGTGTAGTGTGCCCCACGGTTGTTTTCTTTTTATACTTCTATCTCCTCTGCTCACATAGCTTATGCTTACTGAAGCCGAATAACTGAAGGTGCTGGCAGCTTTTTATTCATTAAAAGTCTACATGCAGTCCACAATTCCCTCCACTATTCACTGGCTTACAGTGCTGCTGGAGTCCCAGTGTGTTGTGGAAATTTTTGTGTGTTGTATCTGTAGTGCAAAGTATTGAATTTGAAAAAGTGTTACACAGTAAATAATATAACATGCAGCTCTTTTGTAACAGAGGGTTAGCAACTATTTTCTAACTGATTTAGGGGGCAATACGGCAGCTGACATCTGTGAGCAGCTGTGTTGCCTCCAGTGAACAGATGTTGGTGATGACATACTGTCACTGGAGGTGATTTGAAAAAAAAAAAACGAAGTGGTTAAGTTCAAAAGTTATAAATGACTCATCAGCTTTGTATACCAATGTGTGCCAGAGGAAAATAATGCATGCTTGTCCTTTCTAATTTGAATGAATATTCTATATAATACACACAAAGGTAGCTGTGGCTTAGAAACAGAATTAAAAATGAAGTTTTTCCTTCAGTGTTCTGTAATCTATATGTAAGTGTCTTGCAGATATATTGTCACTTCAGAATCTTTTGAGTAGCACTAAGAACTTACGTTTATAAGTTCTTACTGATGAAATGTAAACTAAAAGATTGATACATATGGCATCTCTTTATTGGATATCATAGCTATTCCCACACCTTATGACTCCTTACATCACTCCCAAAAATCTGTTTATTCATCCACAGAAACAGAGGACGGTGTACAGACTGACGCTGGTCAAATCCTGGAATGTGGAGGAGATGCAGGCTTACTCAGAGCTCATAGCATTGGGCCAGCCAGACTTCATTGAGGTCAAGGTAGGATTTAACAACATTACGTTATTATCTCAGCATGTGTATTCATGTATATATCATTGTGGTGTAGCATGATTGCCTAAATGCCTGAAGTGTGTAAAACATTTGTGCCGTTCCTGTTACTACATATATTGGATAAATTCACTGAACTGGTGGGCTGTGTACCAGATTCACTGACCTTATCCTCGGTCATTTGGCGGATATGGTATTAATAGTGTGGGAGGGGACACCTGGTGGCAATCTGAGCTATGGTGAAAAATGTGCAAGAGTCTGAGCTCATTATGAAGTGCACCACATCAAGTAGTGTTGGTGATAGAGCCCCATCTTGGGTGTCTTTTTCCCGTTCATGTCAGAAAGACACTAACAGGTAGTCGGAAGGGGCTTTTCTGTCAGTAAAGACCAGTGTTGGGACTAACGCGTTATTAAGTAACGCGTTACAGTAACTACGTTATTATTG